CGCCCGTACGCGTGGTGGAGCTCAGCTGTGGCGACGGCTTACGTGCTGGGAGAGAGGCCTCTACATGCCACCTGTGGCACGCGTGTCAAAGGTTCGCCATCACGGCTCTAGAGGAATCGAATGCTAAGTGATTAGTTGTGCTACATGAGGAATACTGACACATAGCCACAAAAGAGATTTCCCAAGATTGTAGTTGATTTAATATATTACATAAATTAGATATACTAATATTTAATAAATATATAATTATAATTTTTTGAAGTTAATAATAGTATTGTAAATAAATACGCTCACAATAAATACCCATAACAAAATACATATGAAACCAGTAGAATTATCTTGCCATAATAATATACACTATAAAACTATTAGAATGAAAAGTTTTGGATCATCTTGCTTTTAAAGTCCATTTTTAAAATGCATATTTATATATGTTTTTTCAGATTCTCTCAGACTTGGAAGAAGACTCTGGAGAAGCAAATAAAGAAGACATGTGGGAACTTTCTTGTGAAACAGTGCGTGAACAACTTGCTAATAGCATTCGAAAACAGTGGAGAATGCTGAAAAATCATGTTGAAAATCTGGATAACCAAGGTGACGTCTATTTTCCCTACAACATTTATTTCATTTCTGATTAGAAAGAAGGCTAATATAGTTATAAAACATTATTAAAATAGAAAAATCATGAAACACAATATGTATTTCCTGTATTCTTAAGCATATAGTGACTTTTCTGTTTTGAACACTGTTTTATTTTTTGAGAAATTGCTTCCTTTTATAATATCATTTTGACAATAATCTTCCCATTATCTTCTTTCCAAAGAATTTATGTCAGTTAAACCAAATGTTGTGACATCCATGAATTAGGAACAAAGGCAGAGAAATGATAAGATTAGTTTAATTTTGATTTAGAGTATTAAACATAAGTAAAGCATTTTTTTTTCTACATTATTTGATCTCCATGAATGCTTATGGTCTGGTTTAGCTTAACTTTTCAAAGAAATTACACTTTTTATAGCTGGAAGTCCTTAATGAACCCATTGATATTAGTGCATATATTTCCTTTTATTCCTTTGTCCTCTAGGCAATCATGTCTGATTCTCCTCATTTAAGGCAAAGCCTTACCAATTATTTTTTTGGATTTTTATATAATTATTTTCAAACAGCCCTGTTAATCTAAAAGATCTAAATAAAAGTCATGAAATTATAAACAATTAAGAAGCAATTTAATGGCCTATTAGAGGATTAAATAGATTTAATGAAAATATGTTTTATGTAGAATTCTTCTATATAGTGCATTCTAAAACCAAATTCAGTAAGAAATACAAATTAATGCAATCAGTTGTCTATGAAGGTGGTCCTCAGGTTACATGCAGGGGGTCCTCAGGTTACAACCATTTGTTCAGTACCCTACAAACTTATGACAGCGCTGAACAAGTGGTTGTTACAACTGGTCCTTGGAATTCCAACTTTCACAACATTCACTTGCTCACATGATCACAAGCTGGGTACTCAGTGCCCAGCTCACCATTATGATGTCTCAACAAGCTGTGGTCATGTGATTGCAATTTCCAGTATTCCCTGCCAGCTTCCTACAAGTAAAGTCATGGCAAAGCTGGCAAGAAGTTGGAAGTTGTGGTCACTTGAGAACCTTGTTTAGCAACCCATGAGGTCCTCACTTAATGACAACTGGNCCAATCCTCAGATCCATAGAGCCGAAAGTTCCCATATGTATTTTCTGAATTGTAATTGTAACATGTGATTGGACTTCTTTTCAATTGTGATGTGTTTGCTACCCTATGCATGCATTTCAGAACAGTTAAAATAACAATGGTTAAAAATATAATATAAACTGTCAGGTGGGAGATATCTTCAAAAAACATCATCAGGGTGGAATGCTGGACAGTTACCTTGGCGGGAAACTCCCTTCCTCCACATGCGCAATGAGATGGTCAGGACAGCGTCTAGAATATCCCTCCAGCACATAATGATTCCCCTCCCAAATACCATGCCCCCCCCATTTCAATGGCAGCCGAAGCAGCAGCAAGGCAGAGGCTGACATATACCTTTATATTTTAATTCAATTTTCATTGAAATTTGCTGCATATATAGGTAGCTAATTAAGCCTGGAATTTACTTGACTCAATTTTACAATAGTTGTTAAGTAAATCATGTACCTGTTAAGCAACCCATGTGATTGGGCAAATGATTTTTTACAGATTTCTGCCAGAAAACAACAAAAACATCATAAATTGTGGTCATGTGATACAGGGTACAGCAACTGGTTGTAAATGCAAGCTGGTTGCCAAGTGTTTAAACTGCAATCGTGAGATCACAGGGAAGGGTGCAGCAATTATAACTTTGAGGACAGGTTGTAAGTTTTTAAAATAACTTAGAACAGTTATTAAGTCATGGGTCATTAACTGTGGATTACCTGTATATTTCTGCACCTGCTGTCTCACTGGAAAGAATTATTCATCTGAGTTTTTGAACAAAAGTTTATCTCTCATGCAAAATAGTTCATATCAATAAAACTACAACCTCAGATAAAATAAAGATTGACCGTATGTAAAGTTATACACAAGCTAGATAATAAAAATAAAACATCTTCATTTAATTTCTTCTCACAGTTACATAGGCATATCCCTTAATTTTAACTTTGTAGTTCTTTGAAGTAAATTATGCTGAAAGTAATCCAATTACTCAGTGCAAATGTAAACCTTGATTTTCTTCTTCCTAGTCCAAAACCTTAGCCACTGTACTGCATAAAGTAAAAATTATTGTGATAAAATAATTCCTCATGCAGAGTGGGGAACCTATTGCTCTTCAGTTTTTACTCACTTTTAAATCCCAGCCTAAAACAAAGCATGAGCAACAGTAAAGAATATTCAAAATTGTAATTTAATAACCAGCAACCATAACTGGGAAGCTACCATTATTGTGTGCCATAATATCCAAAGTTGACAATTTAGACTAATATTAAATACATTCAGAAATAAATTGAACTGAAAGTATGTTATAGATGCTGCTGCCCTATAGTAGTTATTTAACAGACCACATGAGTAGGATTTTTAACTGAATAACTTGTGCATAGGATTTGGCTCTGTGTTCCTTCATTCATCTATTAAGAGCTCATAAAAGTAATCCTCTTCAGAAATAAACTATCAAAAGCTTTTCACTGCCTAGCAGAACCTCTAAGCATAATCTTTGAAAAATCTTTCAGAACAAGCTCCTTGCCCAACCTATGGTCTCTAGACAGAGTCATCCCTATCTTCAAAAAGGGAGACCCCAGCCTAGTTGAAAATTACAGATCAATCTCTTTATGTTGCGTCACCTGCAAAGTTATGGAATCAATCATAAACCAATCTATTACCCTCCACTTAAAAATGAACAACCTATTCTCTAACAAACAATTTGGTTTCAGGAAAAACTTACCCTGTAATCTACAACTCCTACACTGCAAAAACATATGGACTACACAACCTGATCATGGCAAAACAATAGACACAATTTACATAGACTTCTGCAAAGCTTTTGATTCAGTGGTACACGAAAAACTACTTCTAAAACTAAAATCTTATGACATCTCTGGACCCCTGCATAATTGGATAGCTGCATTCCTGTCAAACCAGCAACAAGTGGTCAAAATAGGGAGCAGCCTATCAAATCCTGCCCGTTAATAGTGGTGTCCCCCAAGGCAGCGGTTTAGGACTAACTCTATACTTTATATAAATGACCTTTGCAATCATATTACAAGCAACTGCATTCTCTTCACTGATGATGTAAAACTATTTAACACCACCAACAATGCTGCTACCTTCAAAAAGACTTTGATTATGTGTCAGAATGGTAAAACAATTGGCGACTTCAAATCTCAACCAACAAATGCTTTGTCTTACACATTGGCACACACACAAAAAAAAGAACACAAAATCTATGCTAGGTGGACATGATCTTGTAGATGACCCTGACTCTGTCAAGGACCTTGGAGTACTCATATCTAATGATCTAAGTGCCAGAGCCCACTGTAATAACATTGCCAAAAAGGCATTAAGAGTTGTTAACCTAATCTTGTGTAGCTTCTTCTGTGGTAATATATTACTGCTAACTAGAGCATACAAAACATTTGCTAGACCAATTCTTGAATACAGCTCATCTGTCTGGAACCCGCACTGCATATCAGACATTAATACAATCTAGTCCAGANTCTGTGGCATCAGGAAGGTCATCCAACCAGTAAACCCTCAACTCCATCCAGTCGCCCTGACTCTATCCCGAATTAAAAAGGAAGCTGTAAAGAGAACAGTGTTCATGTAGAGTTTGGGTTTGGTTTGGTTTTGCTTATTTAGTAATTTAGTTTTTGGATTCCCCTCTCCATCCTATACATTCTTCTGACTTCTGATTTAATGCGATACCATTTGTTTTGTTCCAGTTAGGTTTTTAATGTTATTTGATTAACTTTTTCTAGCAACTAACGAGAACTTGATTGTGGTCAGGAAGGTAGCTTTCAAATAACTTCATTTGATTTCTCCGTACCTCACATTCTATCTGCAGCAGCAGCTAACTGCTCCCTGTGATGATGATACCAATATGTTGCTACAGGATTGTTACTTGCTGGAAGAAAAAGAAAGACTCAAAGAAGAATGGAAGTTGTTCAAAGAACAAAAGAAGAACTTTGAAAAAGAGCGCAAAAGTTTTACTGATGCAGCTATTCGATTAGGACTGGAGGTACTTTTCATAAAACAGGAGATTAATAATTTCTTAGGCAACCAAATGACCAAGAATTATATCCATAAATGCAGTAGGCTTTCTTTTTACCTTATCCATGTTTCATGCGGGGATCGTTGAAGAGTTCAAAAGGAGGAATATTTATAATAGCATGTCCACTTTTTTTTTTACTTAAAAGATAGATTGTCCCGCTATCGCTGCATACAATGTTGTTTTGAAAAGTCTGAGACTTTCATTTTCAGCCATATAACTCAAGTGCCAACATCATCAGAATTCTCTGTACTTTCTCATATTCTTAACTAGTTGCATGCCATTATACACCCTTGAAGGAGCAGGTTCCTGATCTATAGCTGCTACACATAGCAACTGTGATGGAGAACTGCTCCAGAGTTGGTTAGATTTAACAATAGTTATCTGTTGAATGGTAAAACCTTCTTGACTACTGCATGTTCTTTATATGGGGGCTATTCCTTGAAAGTGGCCCAAAGGTTTCAGTTGATGAAAATTAAGCAAGTAAATTGCAAATTAATAGAAGGTATAGCAACCACATAGTATCTACAAAAAGATCTTTCCTGGTTACCAGATATTTACCAAGCAAAATTTGCAGTATTGATGTGGCCCTTCAAAGCCCTAACTAGTTTCATGCCTAAGTGATTACTTCTCTCATTACAAATTGGTTTAATTGTTAAGGAAAGACCCTTATACAGTTGTTTATTTATTTCTATTTATTAAATTCATATGTAACCCGTCAAGTGACTCTGAGCAGTTTACGATGCCATAAATTACAGTGGAAAACAATTAGGATGTTAAAAATATTAAAACATTCAGTATTGAAAAAACATTACAATTAATACAAAAGAGCCAGTGCATAACTGGGGTGGAAGTGGGAATCTTCCCCTAATCTACTAGCCACTTCCAGAATGGGAGAGCCCCCAACACGGCCCCAAGCCAGTTGGCCAATAGCAGTTAAGCAATAGCAGTTAGACTTATATACCGCTTCATAGGGCTTTCAGCCCTCTCTAAGCAGTTTACAGAGTCAGCATATCGCCCCCAACAACAATNGTGTCAGAATGGTAAAACAATTGGCGACTTCAAATCTCAACCAACAAATGCTTTGTCTTACACATTGGCACACACACAAAAAAAAGAACACAAAATCTATGCTAGGTGGACATGATCTTGTAGATGACCCTGACTCTGTCAAGGACCTTGGAGTACTCATATCTAATGATCTAAGTGCCAGAGCCCACTGTAATAACATTGCCAAAAAGGCATTAAGAGTTGTTAACCTAATCTTGTGTAGCTTCTTCTGTGGTAATATATTACTGCTAACTAGAGCATACAAAACATTTGCTAGACCAATTCTTGAATACAGCTCATCTGTCTGGAACCCGCACTGCATATCAGACATTAATACAATCTAGTCCAGAGATATTTCACAAGAGCTCTCCGCTCCTCTGCTTGCAACAGAATACCTTATGCCACTAGACTTGAAATTTTGAGCTTATACAACTTAGAGCTATGCCGCGTTTGGTCTGACCTAAACGTAGTACATAGAATTATCCGCTACAATGTCCTACCTGTCAATGATTACTTCAACTTCAACCACAATAATATATGAGCACACAATAGATACAAACTTAAGGCAAACTGCTCCAAACCCGACTGCAGGAAATTTGGCTTCTGCAACAGAGTGGTCAATGCCTGGAATGCACTACATGACTCTGTGGTTTATTTCCCAAACCCCCAAAACTTTAATCTTAGACTGTTTACTGTCCACCTCACCCCATTCCTAAGAGGTCTGTAAGGGGCGTGCATAAACACACCAATGTGTCTATTGTCCTGGTCCTAATGTTTCTTTTTATTTGTATCCATTTCATGTATCCAAAATCATGTTTATACATATGTATGTTATCTAATACATGAGTGACAAAATAAAAAAAATCATAGTTATTAGGGATTATGTTGAACTATGGTATCTAAATTTTATGCAGTCTGTGATTACTACTGTCTCATCTGTATATCTTAAAAAAGCTGAATTGTGCATCACAATCAGACTCATACCAAATCCCATTTTTACCCAGTTATTTTTATATAGATAATAGTTTTAGTTCCAGGAAGGATTCTATTACTATTGTGTGATGAAAAAGTAATTCCCATATACAATTGAAGAATGTTATCCTATTAAAAATCTTAAGTGAATTATTCATATCTCAATTAGGGGACCAGATCTCAGATGCAAAAATCCAGGTGGTCACTAAGAGGATTTCTTTACTGCTATTCAACTGGTCATTCAAATTTGAATGTCCAAAATGCTTTAATTAATAATTTAAAGGGGAAAAATATCAAAAGAGGTTGTGTTTCAAACACTGTTGGGCAAAAACCTTAGAAAGTGCGTCGTTTACGGAAGAGGTCCCTCTGGAGCCTCAGAAGATGAGTTCAATCTCTGTCACCATTATCTAACTGCTACAACAGAAATTGAGTATGGTAGTCCTCTATTTAAACACCATGCTGAGCTTTTATGAAACTCAAAACCAATAGAAACATGTCTATTGGTCATATAAACAACTTTTCTATGCTATTCCTTTCTGATTTTATGGAACCACGGTTATGGTAATTCTCTGTCACCTGGTTAACTCCCACTTTTTGAGGCGGTAGAAGTTGCAATAGAATAGACTAAGGAATACCAAGTTGGGTAAAACTAGTTTAGATATGCCTAGCAATTTGTCACATTTGTAAGGGACAGAAAGAAAGATTTAACTATTTCCTAGGAAGTAAAAATATCTTTTCGGGGAGCAGAGAGGAAGCGGCAACAGCAGCTTCTTTCTCAACCCACTTTGCAAGACCAAATTACTGCCACACATAAATGATGGGAAAACACTCACGCTGCGCGGAGCAAATTAAGCTGTGAGTGAATGCAATTATTGAAAATTTCTTAAAAACTCCCTGGGAAATTAAGGCCTTTTTTTTCTTCTCTTCAACCCAGCAGGTGCATCTTCTTATCTGAGAACTTTTAATAACGGGAAATCTATCGCCTCCTCCCCCAACTCTAATCCTCTTTTCCTAAAGCTAACCCCGCCCGTCACAAATCCTTTCAGTAAGACCTTGCTCTTTCCTCGCCTTAGGAGTCTTAGCAAAAGCTAACAATAACTTCTGCAGCAAGCTTCGGAGGACGCAGCACTACCTAAGGAAAGTACTGTGGCAACTTAAATGTGAGCGTTTCGACTATATATCACTGCCTCGGGGATAACAAGCCACGGTCCGTCGAGATACCACGGTCTGACTTCGGTGTATCTCCAGCAAGTTAAACCGAAGGCGGAGGCCACAACAGGTGAGGAGACAGAGCGCTTCTGGCTTGGGAGGTGGTGGTGGTGGTGTAGCAGCTGCAGCGTCTCCCAGGCCCCTTGTTGAAAGGTCTCATAGCAACCGCTGGGCCAATTGGGGTGCCGCGTGGGGAAAGAGAAGGCGGGGTTTGCGGCCAACGCCGCGAGCCGTGCGAGCGGGAGGGGCCAGGTCGGTTGGCGGAGTCGAGGAGTGGGGTGGGGGNGAGCCGGTGAGATTTGAACCGCCGAACTGCAGAACTGCAGTCAGCTGAAGTAGCCTGCAGTGCTGCATTTAACCACTGCGCCACTTCGGCTCATACAAGGTTTAGGCTCTTTTGGAAGGCCAAAGAGGGTGGATCTTACCTTGAAGGGCACGAAGTTTCAGAGGGCAGGAGCCATGGCATGGAACTGGGGGTCCTTATCTCCCTATCTTTGTGGAGCTCTCCACAGAAGCGTAGAGAGGATTTCGGGCTCTGCATTTGCTGAGATCCAAGCATACAGGAAATGGCAGGGACCTCTTTTATCCTGTTCCCCAAGTCAAGAGTTGTAGTTTGCAATTTTCCTTACCAGCTTCCCCATTGACTTTCTGGGAAGAGAAGATTGCAAATGGCAATCAACTCATAAGTGTAAAGAGGTTGCCAAGCACCCAGATCATGGTCATGTGAATACTGGGGTGGTCCTGGTGGCTGCAACATTTTGCAATAGTCAGAAATAATTTATAGGCTGTAAAATGCCCTTTTTGAGGTTTTGTAGTTTCAATTGTTAAGCAAGTGCTCATTAAGCGAGGACTAACTCTATATGTTTTATTAGCTACTTAGAATGCTCACCAGAGTAGAAAATGAAGCACAGTATAAATAAAATAAATGATACGTTATAAATACCCCCCCCCAATTGCAAAAGTAATTTCTGCATTATTTTTGAAGTTGACAAAACATTAAATACATTGACTTTTTTGGGATTTTATATTTTCTCTTGATGCAGAGAAAGGCATTTGAGGAAGACCGTGGAGTTTGGCTGAAGCAACAGTTCTTAAATATGACTGCTGATCAAAATAAGGCTGATCGGATGAAAGCGCAGAATGCTTTCCTGGGAAGTAAGATTTTTATCTATATGTTTTATCAAGTTTGGTTTCTCCTTGATGTCTCAAATATTTGTTTGTTGGTATAAATCACTGGTCATACCCGAATAGAAGGTTGAAGCCACACATAGATGCATACAAGCGCATCTTTCTCTTGTGGCCAAATTTGCCCAGAATGGTATAGGGTCTCCTGCCTCAAGCAGGGAGTTGGACTAGAAGACCTTCAAGATCCCTTCCAACTGTGTTATTCTGATATTCAATAGGATGAACATCATGGGGGAAGAAACCTTTTCCTTCCTCTAGTATTAATCTAAACAAACGCTATGCCAACTATACTGAAAAACAGACATTCTGCTCTCAGTGAGTGAGTGATCATAATTTGGTGATTAATAGCTAGTGGGAACCAGATTGCTTCTAGTTAACAGCAGAAACCTATCTATTTCATATGATTTAGTGGATCATGCTGACCTCTCTCTCTCTCCCCCCCTCCCTCCCTCCCTCTCTCACCCTCTCCCTCTCTCCCTCCCTCCCTCCCTCTCTCCCTCTCTCCCCCTCTACCTCTCCCTGTCCCTCCTCTGAGCTTTACAGTTTGTTTAGTTTTGGTCCTGTACAAGTGATAATTCTTTCATTCTGTAGGTCTACAGTTGAAGCCAAATAATTGTGGTAGATGGATTTTTTTTTCTGCTTAAGACCAAACTTTTCTAAAATTGGAATTTAATGTTCCAGATAACTGTATGTGATTTCTAAGAGAAGTTAAAGGGATTTCTGAAAATAAGTCTTCAGGCAAGAAGTGATCTCAGATATTTCAGATACAGTGTTTCCGGGCAGAAATCCATCTTGCCACAAATTTGGCACATCTCTATAATTATTTTTTATTATTCATTAGATTTACATGCTGCTCATCTAGTCCACAGCAGTGTCCCCCAACCTTTTCGGCTTGGTGGCCCAGCACAGGGGGGTGGGGGGGTGGAGAAGGAAACTGGGCTGTGCACCTGGGGCATTGCACATGCGCACGTGCATCTTGACTTCCATGAGTGATGGGCTGGCATGCATCCACATGAATGGGGTTGAGCTGCACATGCTACTTGCGTAGCCCAGTTGCAAACAGGCCACAGCCTGGTAGAGGCCACTTATAAATAGAGTATTGCCCTTAGATATATATCACTAGTCTAAATTTTTATGTTTATAGAGCTAATTCCTGCTATATCCCCAAAGACATCCCTGCCTGCTCTTTCAGGTATCTCTTTAAGTACACACACCACCTCCAAAATTTCAGAGGTTTTGTACATACATTCAGTTGCTGTCTAATAACTACAGCAGTTTTAAAGACTATGATTTCACACCTAAGTTCAATCAGAAAAAGGTAGTGAATGTATTATAGTAGTGTCTTATGTAGTTGCATTGGCTCTCATAACTTCCAAGAAATCCAAATCTAGATATTGTTGTGTAATAGAGAGATTGTTAACTAGAGCAATGTTTTGCAACTTTTTCTTTTTGCCCATGGCATCCTTCCAAGTTTGTTTTTCATTTGTGGCTTCCTAAACCAGGTCTTGCTACTGGTAAATAAAATGTATTTATTAGATTTGTGTGCCACCCATCTTGTCTAGAGATTGCCACTTGGCTGGTAACTAAAACATGGTTTTAGTTATAATAAAGTCAGTATTTGCAGTATAATCACTTGATTTGATTTGATTACATTTATATGCCTTGGCTTGTCTGTAGTCCTTTTGCAGATGCCGTGGTCCCCTGTTTCATATTTTTCATCTGAAATATTCTAGGGACACCATATGGTCCTGGTTAGAGAACTGCTGAATTAGAGGATGTGTACTATTTCTGGCTGAGTACCCAGAATGTAACAAGGTTTACGGTTGGCTAATTTAGGATTAATGAAATTAATTAGCAATAGCAGTGGCCTCCAGTGTTTGAAGGCTTTTGCTAAAAGTTGCTAATGGATGAGGTTTGAAAGGTCTGATTGCTGACATGTATATTGCTGACCATTTTAACTATAAAAAAATAAGAGCTCATGGTATGGTGACAACATGAGGAAATTAGGAAGATTTGTTTTTGAAATTTGTGGTGTTTTAGTAAAATCACCAGTTCTCAAACTTGGCTTGCTGTATGTATTTTTGTTAATATGCATAACATATACCAAGTTTATGTTATTATATTATCTTCATTTCCCAACGTTTCTGGGAACTTTCTGCAAAGTTCAGTTATGAGAAATAAAGATTATGTCCTCAGATTTGGTTTTGTTTTTTTTTACCTGTGATTCCCATCCAGAAAGTTAAGATTAAGTGTTCCGATATCTCAGGGGTTGCCACAAAGAAGAGGGACTCAAACTATTCTCCAAAGCACCTGAGGGCAGAACAAGAAGCAATGGGTGGAAACTAATCAAGGAGAGAAGCAACTTAGAACCGAGGAGAAATTTCCTGACAGAACAATTAATCAGTGGAACAACTTGCCTCCAGAATGCCCCAACACTGGAAGGCTTTAAGAAGATATTGGATAGCGATTTTTCTGAAATGGTATAGGGCTGTGATGGTAACCTATGGCACGTGTGCCACAGGTGGCACACGGAGCCATATCTGCTGTCAGCTCCAGTGCACATGCGCACACCAGTCAGCTGATTTTCAGTTTTCCAGAGGACTGGGGGGGGGGCGCTTTCACCTCCCTAGGCTTCAGAAAAGCTTCTGGAACCTGGGGAGGGCAAAAAATGGACCCAATGGGACTACTGGAAGTTCGGAAATGATCCTTTGGTAGGCCCGTTGGGCCCATTTTTCACCCTCCCCAGGCTCCAGAGGCTTTCCTGAAGCCTGGGGAGGGTGAAAAA